ATATATATATATATATATATATATATATATATTTTTTTTTTTTTTTAACATATGTGTGTGTGTGTACAAACATTTCTGCTTGGAAGTAGAGGGAATTATCTGGTTCACCTTTTATCTAACGAGCTTATTTTGACAAAAGGATAAAGCAAGTTTCAAAATAAAGTCTCTCCAATACAGTGACGGAAGCAGCTTTTCAAGATTGTTATGGGAAATGAAACAGACTAAAGAAATTAAAGTCCATTCACTTAAATCCAGAAGTTTCTCTGTGATGCAGCTGAATGGCCCACAGGCTGCAGGAGTCCAAATTGCTGCTCTATTAGGAAGCATGATTGCATAGAAGTAAGCAGTGTTTAAGGCTTAAGAAGCGCTCCAGTTGAACCATAGCAGACACCATTTTCTGCTGGTGTCCCTCCATGAACAATAGCCCGGCGTTCTCTTCAAAGCCTCCATAATAGTCAATCGATCAGAATGCGAGGCGCTATTCTGCAGATTACTGTTAACAATAATTTGCCTCCCTGTGCACCGTAGCCATCTTTGAAGCAATGTTTTATTGCCTTTTTTCATCTGCATCTGTCATCCCTGAGGTCCACTGTTTGATCTCCCCCCCTCCATCACCACCACCTCCACCAGCACCACCAGTGTCTGCCTCCCCGGGGTCGCGTTGACCTGTTGATTGGCAGCTGCGATCAGACATATGGTGGGACGAGGCATCGACCGGAGCTTCCCCCGGAGACAAAAGCAGACTTAGAGTTTTTTTTTAACCCGAGTTGAGGAGCGGCAGACAGCACCGAGGAGGAGGAGGACGAAGCCCAGATCCGACCGCTAGATGGCGCAAGGAGCAAACAAATGTGTCACCCAGCGCTTTCTACTTTAATCTTAATTTATTCATGTTAAGATGGAAGGGCGTGCGCGTCGCGTGATTATTTATGGTGCATTTATTTGGGAGGGTGATGATGTTTTTTTTTTGCCAGTGTGACTCCCTTGTATGCAAAATATCTCACGAACCACTGCGACAATTTTAATGAACCACCCTGAAAGTTACAACTCATTACTCTTTTCAAGATGGCCGCCACAGCTGAGCGACCATGGCATGCACAAACTCAGTCAGTTTTACAGATGTAACTCAGTCCCCAACTTTTATACTGAGAGCTTATTATCTTGAAAGATCTGTTTAAAATTTTGTCTCGAAGTACTGGAGTCAACACTGTTAGCAAAATTTCTTATGAACCAGTGGATAAATATAAAAGAGACTGGATGTAAGACTACACCTCGTCAAATTTTAGTCAACTGTCATGTCAATGTCATTCTCATCCTG